AAAGGATTATTCCCGCCATCTTCGACCCTGTTCCTCACACCGACGTCGTCCAATTGCAGATCATCCAAACCGCCATCCAGGTCGCCACTGCCTTGACGTGGTTGGATTGCGGCCTCAAGATCGAATGCGTGGTCGGCCACTCCCTTGGACAGCTCTCAGCTCTGATCGTTTCTGGTGTCCTCTCGCTCCACGACGGTCTAAAGCTCGTATACCACAGAGCTCTACTGATCAGAGATCAGTGGGGTCCTGAGAGGGGCGCTATGCTCGCCATCTTTGCTAATCTCGACGAGACCCGGGCTCTCATTGCTTCCATCAAGAAGATTGACCCTACCACGGACCTCAGCATTGCTTGTTACAACGGGCCCGGTAGCCACGTCCTGGCCGGGTCCAGGTCGGAAATTGACCTTGTGGTCGATGTGATCAACAGGTCGAGAGCCATGAAATACGTTCTTCTGGAAACGACTCACGGATTCCACTCGAGACTGGCCGACTCGGTCTTGCATAGCCTGCAGCACATTGCTTCCAGCCTGACCTACCGTGACCCCATTATCCACGTTGAGCTGTGCTCGGAACATGAAGAGTTCCCCGTCATCATGAATGCCAGCGCCATTGTTGAGCACACTCGGCAACCCGTCTACTTCGAGCACGCCATCAAGCGTATCGAAAGGCGTCACGGAAGCTGCACTTGGATCGAGGGTGGCTCCGACTCTTCCGTCATGGGCATCGTTCAGCGCTGCTTACCTTCAAAGAGAGAAAGTGGTCATGACTTCCGTCCTGTCTCTCTGAGCCGCTATAACTCGCTTGGTTCCTTGGCGGAGACTATTGCCCATCTCTGGAACCGCAGACACCACGTCCAGTTCTGGCCCTTTGCCCGCTCCCAGAGAGATGAGTACCGCGCCTTGAACTTGCCCCCGTACTCATTCGAGAAGACCAAGCACTGGCTTGACTTCAACTTGACCATCAACAACGGCCACAAGGAGATCAAGGAGATTGTCGTCGTCAAGGAGCAACAACCCAAGAACCACCACCACCTGCTCACGTTTGCTGGCTTCCAAGATGTGTCGGAGTTGACAGCCATCTTCAACGTCGATCCTCTGTCTGATGAGTGGCAGACGCTTTGCGGCGGCCACGCCCTTCTCAACACTCCCCTTTGCCCCGCTGCGCTGTATGTCGAGCTCATTCTGCGCGCTACCAGAACCGTCTCGGAACTTAAGAAGGGAGTTGCGTCTTTCCAGGTGCAGCTGGAGACTCTTGAAATCCACAATGCTCTAGGCATTCACCCTCACAGAAGAGCCATCAAGCTCCACTTGACCCAGGTGGACATCGCTGCCAACAAGTGGGATGTGTCTCTTCGTACCGAGCCAGAGGATGTTCTTGAGTCAATTACGACTCACGCTTTCGCCAAGGTCGAGTTGGTCACGGGCGATGATACGGACACTGCTGTAGAGCTGGCTCGCTTTGGCAAGCTTCTCGAGAGAGGATCATACGACCCTGCTTCCTGGAACATTGTTGACAAGATCCACGGCCCTGTCATCTACCAGATCTTTTCCAAGGTCGTTCAGTACCAGGAATACTACAGGGGTGTCCGCGAGCTCTCCTTCAAGGGTGACACCATTGTCTCCGAGGTGTTCCTGAACAAGGACCAGCCCAGCGTCATTCCTGAGTTGGTGCACAATCCCGTCGCCATTGACACCTTCCTCCAGGTTCCTGGTATCTACTTGAACTGCCTCTCTTCCGTCAAGTCGGGTAGTGCCTATGTCAACACCAGCCTCGAGCGCCTCCGTATCGCTCCCGACTTTGAGTACAAGCCGAGAGGCCCGTGGAGAGTCATTGCCATTCCCGGAGAAATGAGCGACTCAGGCTCGGGAAGCTTTGATGTCTTTGTCACTGACCCCAAGATGAAGTCTCTGGTCGTGGCTGCATTTACTGCCCGTTTCCGCCTGGTCTCCATTGCTGCCTTGACTAAGGGCATCTCTGCGGAATCTGATTACTTTCTTCAAGTCCCCCATTCGCGCGAAATCGACAGTGGAAACCAGATGATCGATCGGATTTCCCACGTTGCCCCGAGTGTTGCCCCTAGCATTGCCCCCAGCATGGCCCCTAGCATGGCTGCAAGTGATTCGTGCAACCGGCGCGAGTCCCGGCTCGAGAGAGCTTGGGTGGAGGAGAAGCTCAGCGAGATCCTGCGAAAGGTGGCAGACCTCCCCGTGGAGCTCTTCCGATCCAACGCCTCGCTCGAGGAGCTTGGCATCGACTCTCTGATGTGGACCGAGGTGGTGTCCGAGGCTGAGAAGACTTTTGGCTTCACCATCCCGCGATCCGAGCTGCAGAACGTGCAAACGGTGTCGGAGTTGTGTGACTACATCCATGATCACGACGTTCGCGTAATCACGGCTCCTCTGCCCAAGACCCTGAAAATCAGGAAGTCCCTGCCCCGTATCCAGACACCCGGCTCCGAGCTGGTTGAGATGCCTCTCCCCTCCGGTCGTACCGAGCCCATTATCAACGCTAGGCACACCCTCGAGCACATCCTCAGTGACCTTGCCCAGATCCTGAGCAACCACACCGACTTTGCCCCCAGCGAGATCCGCCCTACCACCAACCTGAACGATCTCAGCCTCGACTCACTACTTGCCATCGAATTCCTCGACGACATCAAGTCCAAGTTTGGCGTCACGATCGACATTGGCTCGTTCAGCAGACTGACCGAGGTTGGCATGCTCGCTGAGACGATCTTCAAGTCGCTCTCCAATAATGCTCTCAACCCGCCGCCACGCTCCGCCATCTCCAGGTCTTCTGGCAGCACGGCCTACATCCCGAGCGTCATGTCGAAGCTCAACAAGCCATCTCACCGGCCCAAGAGCAACCTCTCCCACAAGAGCTTTACTCCATCCCGGGAAAGCCTGCTGCAGTTCAACGACAACATTTCCTACTCTGGCACCACTTGGAACCATGCCATGCACACCTTCAGGAGATCGATGATGGACTTTGAAAAGCTCGCGCTCAAGAACGAGTTCTCTGGATTCTACGAAAACGTCTACGGCAAGAACTGCAACCTGGTGCTCGCCTACGTCGTCGAGGCCTACGCCGACCTCGACATCCACCTGGCCAGCATGCGACCCGGAGCCGAGATCCCCGAGCTCGCCGTCCACCCCAAGCACCACCAGATGCGCGAGGTTCTCAAGGGCGTCCTGATCGACGGCGGCCTCGCCACCTCTGACGGCGTCTGCCTCGTGCGCACCGAGAAGCCCGTCGACCCGACGCGCTCCAGCATGCTCTTCGAGGACATCCTCCGCGAGTTCCCGCAGCACACCAAGGAGCACATGCTGCTCAACATCACGGGATCGGAGCTGTCGCAGCTCATCACGGGCGCCAAGGACCCGCTCGCCGTGCTCTTCGGCTCCAAGACCAACCGGCAGATCCTCGAGGACGTCTATAGCACCAGCCCCATGTACGTCGTCATGTCGCAGCTGCTGACGCAGTTCCTCGAGTCGACGCTGAGCTCGGCCATGTCGTCGGTGGCCGGGACGGGCCGCCGGTTCAAGATCCTGGAGATCGGGGCGGGCACGGGCGCGACGACGCGCTGGGTCGTCGGCCGCCTGGTGCAGATGGGCATTCCCATCGAGTACACCTTCACCGACATCTCGTCGTCGCTGGTGCAGACGGCCAAGCGCAAGTTTGCGCACTACGACTGCATGAAGTACGCGACCCTCGACATTGAGCGGCCCCCGCCCGCCGAGTACCTGGGCCAGTACGACATTGTGCTGGCGACCAACTGCATCCACGCGACGTCGGACCTGCGCGGCTCCATGCGCGGCATCCACGCGCTGCTCAAGCCCGAGGGCTTCGTGGCCCTGGTCGAGTTCACCCAGCGTATGCCCTGGTTCGACATGGTCTTTGGCCTGCTCGAGGGCTGGTGGCTGTTCCAGGACGGCCGCGGCTACGTCCTGGCCGAGCCGCACTTCTGGGAGGAGTGCATGCAGGACGTCGGCTTCGGCAAGGTCCTGTGGAGCGGCGGCAACTCCAGGGAGTCCAACGTCGTCCGGGTGATTGCGGGCTTCAAGCAGGATTAAAGACTGTATGATTATGATGAGTTTGGTTGATATTTTAGCAAGTTGTTTTTGGAAATATTTGTACATTACTAGATTAGGTCATATGGGAAGGATTATTGAATTTTTTTTATCGTAACTTTTCTGCCAGCATAACATCAGACAAAAGTCTTCCATACAGTTTCAAGTTTGCAAGTTTTACGTATTGTTCCAACTCTTTCTTCCTTCTTTTTCTTTCCCTTTTCTAAAACGAGGATATGGTGACTTTTATCAGTACAATACAGAGTATATCATGACGCCACCGGCAAGAACCAGCGCGATCGTTCCAGGGCTTCTACATACGGTTCTCGAATGATCGCATTTGACATGTGCCTGGTGGATTCCGCATCGAGATGTCATTCACACAGTATGCACATTAGCGCAGCGCACTCACGATATTCTCCGCGCAGGTACCCAACCCGCTGCAGTAGCTGCAACTTACAAGACGAACTGAGTGGACGTTGCAAGGGGGATCGAGAGATCTGGGCCGAACGCCCCATCGACTTCTCTTTGGTACGCTAATGTAGTGCAACAGAACAACAAGTGAATATCCACATGTTTCGACACAGGTTTCCGTGCGACTTCTTTGTTAGACTGATCAGACGTGGCATGTTTACTGACGTGTCCATGGTGGAGAGATTTGAGCATGTCTGGTGTGCATAGCTTCGTCATGGTCACACTTGATTCATTCATACATTCATAACAATTATCATCTGCACATCTCAGTCTGGCCGTCACTATTCCCACTTATACACCATGGTGGGGTTGATCCATTGGGGAACGGCAACTAGCGCGCACTAGCCGCCCAGCCCAGGTGGTTCCCGTTAGCTAAGAGGCCACATATTCCGATATATAACAGACGATAGAGGCGCAATTTCTCAACAAAGGTCATTCAAATGATCCAGTCCTCTCGGCACTTTGGCGGAGTGGTTAACGCGATGCCCTGCTATCTATCTCATAGATTACAGTTCAGGCATTTCCCTCGGGAGCGTGTGTTCGAATCACACAGGTGTCGATTTTCTTTTTGCTTCTCTTCGCTTCTACAATGAATTGTCTTCATACTTTTTTGGTGTGTTGCCTGCAGACGGGAAAAGATGCACTCATCCATCGCATCCCACATCGTCGACTTTGATGGTGGCAACATGGATGGGTTCAGCCCGCGACCCGGCAGCGTGAAGTTGGTGCCATCTTGGACAATGAATGGCATGCGGATATAGCACACGACACTAAAATCCGGAGGAAAAAAGCAGCCGTTGCACTATACATTAAAAGTTGGATATAATAATTCCCATCGAAATGAACGTTTTTCGCACAACTTGCATCCCTGTAATTAGTGACCTCAATGTCTCTACTCGATCAGAATCTGCTTCTCCTTCTGGATAGACTTGGCCACATCCAAAGGAATCTTGAGGACACTGGCGACAATGTCGGCGGGAGTCAGAGCCAGCCACTGCGAGAGCGAAATGTCCTGGACTCGGTCACTGTTGTAGATCTCGATCCACACCAGGTCTTCCGTGGGGGATGTGTTCTCAATGTAGTGGCCTATAATTACATGTCAGAAGTTACATCGTGAAAATAAATCAGGAAACATACCACTGTTGTCAGGGAACAAGGCCGTGTCGCCAGCAGAGAAATCAAACGTCCGGGCGTTGGTGTTGCCGATAAAGACCGTGGCCTGGCCCTGTCCCTGGTGGAAGTAGAGCCACTCGGCGGCGTTGGGGTGCCAGTGCAGCTCCCGGAGCCCGCCGGGCTTCAAGGTGACCACGGTCGCCGCAATGGTCGTGGCGATGGGGAACGTCTTGGTGTCGATGATGCGCAGCGTGCCTCCGTGCCCGGGCACGTCCTCGAGCGGGTGCTCCTTGGCGTAGTAGACGTACGAGGCGTTGCCCGTCAGCAGCCCGTTGCCTCCCGAGACTTCCTCGGTCGAGAGCGTCGCGTTGAGAATGTACGGGTTCGGCGAGGGGACGCTGCCGAATACGTCCTCGGAAACGTTGAAGTTCTTGGCAAGGACGGACTTGGGAGTGTGGGCGACCCAATCGTCGATGTTGAACGTGGTGCTGGTACTGGTATTAGCATAAGTATTTCATTCCAGCAGTGGCTACGTACCCGACGGCATCGAAGTTGCCCTCGTCAAAGACCAGAAGAAACTCGTTATCATCATCGAGACCTGCGGTACAAGTTAGCACTTAGCTTCATGAGACCAAGATATTAGCCAAAGCAGGAACTTTGGGTGACTGACCTTGGATGGTATGCGCTTCGCCCTTGGGGAAGTACCATACGTCGCCAACTTCGAGCTTTGCAAACTCATATTGGCCGTTCTCATTGACAGCCGACACGAGAACGGAGCCAGCGTAGACGTAACCCCATTCAGCCTATATCCGTGTGAGTCATTGACCATTTTTTAAAGGCAAGACTATGTATGAAACCCACAGTTTTGTGCCAGTGAAGCTCACGGATCGAGCCCTTGGTGAGATGCTGCTGAGCCGCAGAGATGTCGGTGCTCACCGGCAGGTCAGTGACGACCTGCTCACGGACCCATCCTCCCTTTAGAAGGCGAGTCTTGGAGTCGGAGAAGCTCCATTTCAGGTTGGGTACGACGCCATTGTCGGTGCTCTGCTGGCCCAGGTTGTCGGGGTTCTGGAGGTCCAGGGCCTTGTTCGTGCCCCCTGTGACATTGATCAGTATTGAGAATGAAGTTACTTGTCGGACAGCACCACTGACCTAGAATTGCGGCGCCTTTTCCGTTGCCGTCAATAGGTTGACCGCCGCCAAAGCCGCTGGAACGGCCGCTTACAAGTGCAGTCGCTGTCTGGCTGCTCACGAGCACCGTAACGATGGTGTTGAGAAGGGATTTCATGATGGGCAATTGGCCGCTCGCAACTGAAGATGAACAACACGAAAAGATGAGTGAGTTGTACGGGAACAAGAGAAGAGAAGAGAGTCGTCTCTCATTTTACTATATGCTCTTTCTTCGCCAAGTGACATCACGTCGCTTGGCGCGATTTCACCATAGACTATAAACATTGTGATATCGCCGGCCAAAAGCACGCGTCGGGAACGCCATATTGACGGCTCTGATTTGTGACTATCACAATCATAAGTCTGCATCAATAGTGCAACCCCAGATCCTGTGAGATGCTGTTGAAAAAAGGATGCATGTTTGTCGATCGCTCAGTGTCGTCGATTGGTGGGCTGAATGAGTAGTCGAGCACGATATATGGCGCCATGGCTTGGCGATAGGCGGACTATGCGGCTGCGAAATGAGAGACGTGCCCTGTTGATCCCGTCCGCGCCAGCGATGCCCAGACTTCGAATAACTTACGTGATTGGACTTTTTGTGAGATCTGCAGCTTGTATTCCGCCTTATCCCAGGTAAGCTTCCATATACTGGGTAAGCTTAAACTCGGCGACATCCACCACGGCCAGCCCTGTTGGACAACCGCGACAAATGCCGGCCGGTACTTGGGTGCTCCATGTCCAATAGTGTCGGAATCCAAGGAGCCGGGAATTGTGTCATCGTCAATCATCCGAATTCGTCGAAGAGGTTTTGCAAGGCTTTTCTGATGATTGGTCGTGTAACTCTAGCCTTGCATATGCCAACCCATCACGATTCGCGACTGGCAGCGGAAAATATGATCTCCGCTGTCAAAGAGTATAGCATCGATTTCTCAGAAGTAAACGCCACCAATTTCCTATCGCACATCGCAATATGGTCGGACGTCGATGAACTTTCTCTGCAGTACATATTCCTTGTCTGGATGTTGAAGTCAATGGTGGAAATATTGCTAGTAGGGTATGATGACATCGAAGAACAGAACAAGGCGGCAGTCATACCTGGTCTGCCTTGATGATTTGAAAGACTTTGCATCACGTCGTGACTGTGCTCCCTGCAGCCGGGAGCAAATGATCACAATGGTCATCTTGCCAAGACACCATGAGCTGAACACAACGAGACTCGATTCGGAAGATGTTGTAAATCATATCCAAAAACGCTCAATGTTATCATTATAGGCGGCAGTAACATCATTTTAAGATTCGATAGCAGGAAGAAGTACATCGATTATGAGGAGGGGATGAACATCTTTGCTGAAGTTCGAAGAGTTGACACAGAAAAGTGAAGATGAGGAGACTGAATCGAGTATGAACAGGAGCTGCAGAGCGATTATAAAGATCATCCAATGTCCCAAGTCTTTTGGAAATTGACTCAAACAGCCTCACAGCATCTTTCTCAGACACTAATTCTTGACAGCTTAATCTGCTCAAACCCACTGCACAATGGCTTCGAGGCTTTTCAAAGGGCTCACTGCCCTGAGCTTACTTGCTCAAGACGTTTCTGGTCTATCTTTGCCTCCTCTCATCCCTTCCATTCCGGGAGTCACTGAGCCTCTTGCCAGCAATGCTCCACCTCTGCCTATCCTGCAACTTCCCACGCCACCCTTGCCCAGTCCCCCATTCACTCCCAGCGACATCAAGCCCAAGAAGATTGGCTACTTCTGGACTGCTGCCGGAGACAACATCCACGCCGATTTCTTGGCTACTTACAGTCTGGATGATGTAAGTGATTCTGCGACTTCATAGGTAGAAGACGAGACTAACTTGCCCAGGACACTTTTGGTACTCTTCTATGGGTCACCGACGTGCCTACCAGTGGCAACAGCCCTCACCACCTGGGAGCTTCCCTCGACGGCAAGACACTCGTCGGCGGCGGTCTGTTGTCCCTGCTCAAGACTCAGGACACGGCGTACTACTTTGACACGACCGACCCTTACCGGCCGACTTTCCTGAAGAGCAACAGGGCCATCCTCGCATCTATTACTGACGAGATCCGTGCCAAGCCCGACGGAGGATTCTTCATCACGTACATGGGCTCTGCGGTCGGCACTGCGCCCGGCCGCCTGATCGAGACGGACGAGAACTTTGACATCATCGCCGAGTGGCCCGCCCTGACCGACGTGTCCAGCACCCTCAACATCCTCGGAGAGCAGCACTCCCCCCACGGGCTGTCGGTCGACTGGGACCGCAACGTCATCCTGACATCGGACTTTGTCGTGCCCATCACGATCCTGAAGCCCACTTTGGGCATCCAGAAGGCCAACACGCTGCGTCTGTGGGATCTTCCTACTCGCTCCATCATTAGCACCATCACCATTCCCGATGTAAGTCTGCCAAAACACCAAGAAATAGAGTCTCGAGCTAATGATTTGAACAGGGTCAAGGTATTCAGGACGTCAAGTTCATTCCTGGAAACCCCGAAGGTGCTGCCATCGCCACTGCTGTTGGCCCCGGCCAGGTCTGGATCATCTACCCTCACCGCAAGGATGCCAATGGCAACCAGGGCGTCGCCGAGCTTCTGTTCGACCTCGGCGAGAAGGCGCGCAACAACCTCGCCATCTAGTAAGTTCCGTCCTCTCTACAATGTGTTGATACTTCTGCCGACCCAAAGAACAACGACTAACAGCATCTCCCCACCAGCTCCGACATCTCCCAGGACGGGCGCTTCGCCTACTTCACGCTGACGCTGGCCGACCACATCGCGGCGCTGGACATCAGCGACCTGGGCAACGTCAAGCGGCTCGACGACCCGGACGAGGTGCAGCCCACCATCGGGCCGCACTACCTCAAGCTCACCCCGGACCAGAAGCACCTGGTCGTGACCGACTACTTTGTGCAGACGGGCGACATTGGCATCGTCAACACGCCCGCCGACTTCAAGGCCCTGTACATTGACATCCTCGACGACGGCAGCCTCAGCTTCAACCGCAGCATCGACTTCCCGCGCGAGTTTGCCAACCGCGGTGGCGCCAAGCCGCACTCGTCGGTCGTGTTTGACCTGAGCGACCCCGAGAACCCCAAGTACTACTAGGTACCTTGTCCATGGGTAATCTTTTGGTGGAAATGATGAGTCGATCATGGGGGCGGACATCACTCGTGTAGACACGCAATCGTATGGTATACGTTTCAAGTTACAAGGAAACGCAATGTTTATTAATAATAATTCTATCTTATCTCTCTACG